TTCTTGACTCGTTAGCTTGAATTTGGTTGTGATGATGATACCTTGCTCTGATGATGTTCGTCATGTGACGCACGAAAGCTGAGCACCTTTTCACCGGAATCGAATGAGATTGCCTCGGAAACAGCGTCAGCATGAATCCTTCAGTAAAGTCAATCGACAGCTGGTCAGAAAGCATATACCGACCTTCGAATCTCTTCACTCAACACTTTCACTCAAAATGGAAGTAAGCTAAACAGTTTGTTTAAATGCTTAGTCTTTGAGGGCGCCATTTTACATCTTTTGAAATGGTTATTCTTTCTTCATAACTTTATGACGGCTTAGATTGCATAATCGGTTCGCAGACTGGGGCACAGATGAAATGAGGCTACAAGTGAAAATAGCCTCAGACAATGCACCACGGCTCGGTTTGAAACCCGTTAAATTCGCTGAAACAATAAAGATTGTCTGATTGTTTGGGCGCCTTTAAGGACGAATTTATGACTGTATGGGCACATGTAAGACTAGCGGTCAAGCCTGCGCCCACCCGAGAGACAATAGAGAGATTAAGCATTGTAAACTGTTTAGCCAATAAGTGCTGAAGGTGGAGGCCAAGAAATGGCATTTCTGAAAAAAACTGTCAGTCTAAAACATGGGCATGCCAGAATAGGGAATTTAACCGAGGCCGAAACCGGGATTTCCCAAACTACACAATCGTAATGTGGTTCAATTATCGCGACTAAACTGCCAAATGGTTTAGTTCACATCCATCAGGAGGCCAATTATCGCCTATAACAACCAGTTTCAACGTGCATCCTGTTGAACTGAAAGAGATTTTGTCCTAGATTACATAAAAAGAAAATGTGCTTTTTGCAATTAATTTTTGGGTTTTTCATTCACCCCCAAAGGACCTGCCGCTTACTCTGCATATCAACAGTTGGAAACCGTTTGCAGGTGCAGATGAGGTAGTTGAACGAGGTGGAAACCGCAATCCGGTCGGGAAGAAAGCGGACTTTTGGAATGCCTGACAAAGTAGTAAAATCTTCCGTCGGCAGAAGAGTTGCAGTCAGTTCAGCAAGAAACCAGTAGAAAATCCTTCACCTGCGTTAAATAGTGTCTAACATTCAAATGGTGTAATACTAACTGGGTAGAAAGTGGCGAAATTCGTGGAACTTTTTCTACTAACCTTTGTATCTTCCAATAAATCTTGTGTCTAATGGGCAATTGTGGGCGAGTGTAAAGAAAATTAGAGAGCGTGAAGGAGATTGCAAAAAAAACGAGAAGGGTTGTGACGCCTAACATTCTGAAGACGATGGCAATGTCTGAAATGTGCCCGTTGCTAGTTGGCTGCACACGGCCACGGGTTGGTAAGGGGCCATTTTGGGAAACGTATGGCGATAGAAATGGATTAACTGAAATAGTATCAAGTACATCAGAAGTAGGAAAGCTGGCCAGTTTCTGTGAAGGCAGCGCAGAGGTCGCCCACAAGCCTCGAAGGTCAACAGATACATCCCTCTTCCTAAACAAGGAGAATTGCTTTAATGTCATCATTTCACCAATTTAATGGAAGACACGAACTCATCGAACTCAAATAGATCGTAAAGCGCAAGGGTGAAGCATAAACAAAGCCACAAGTTGTCTGGGTGCAATACAGGACCGCTGAGAGAAAAAATACTTTTATTTTTATCAAAACTGCCCCATTCGAGATGGGATATTCACAGAGCAAGATTTTTATGGGTGATCATGATATTGTACTAATCATCATCTAATAAACCGAATGGTTGAATTCGCCAAATGCTAGATTTCTTTTTTGTTTCCATGAATTGTTTCCACCCCAAACTCAAATTCGATTGAAGCCCATCATCACTTGCGGCGAAATGGGACTCAAAATTATGTCATCCATATGAGAGGACAATTATTGCATCTTTATGATGCCTGATCCTCTTTGCATACGCTATACTCGATAATTTACCATCACCAATGAGGACTCGAGGTAATCGGTGAATACACAAATGTCTGCCAAATCCTATTCCTTTTGCACACAACCTGTGCTGCCATGACACGGAGACCAGCACGCTTTCTAAATTATGGGTAATTTTAAAATAAGAACACAGGCAACCGAACTCGTGTAGGCTAATTTAAGGAAGGCTAATAAACTTTTTGCCATAATTAAATTAGTATACCTCATTGGACCGTTTTATTTCACAGAGTATTGTCTCCAAAAATGTGTCCTCGTCAAAGATAAAAAAACATAAGACCGGCAAGTACTGAGTTCACGGGCTTTTGTGGGATCTTTCATGCTGGATTAGAGTGTGATTGTGTTCTAAGCAGTTCCAGGAACTCTAAAAAAAACCAATTCTGCAGACTAGACAAGGGAGTTCGTGCATTCGGTGTTATTCCAGCCCTGAGCTCATTCAACCGAAATTTCGAATGCAAGAATGAAAGCATCCTCCTACGAGATGATAGAAAAGCGAATATGAGCTTCTCGATTTCCCTTATTTCAGCGTATTGAATGTGAATGCAGTTTGGAGTAAAAGTAATCCAAAACCACTTCTTAAAA